ACACTCAGCTCCTCCTGCCCCCGAGCCCCGGTCTCCCCTGGGGCTTCCGGTCTCAGGAGCGCTGTCACCGTCAGTCCCCTCAGTTCTGTGACTTCCCTCTGCCTTGCTTCGCTGCTGCCTTGCCTGACGGTTGCTGATTCCTGTGGATTTGGCCCCTTTCTTCCGTGACCAGCGGTGTCACCTCAGTCCAGGCCACCACCTAGGCTCAGCTGGCCTCAGGCCACATGCTTCTGATTGGCCTCACAGATCAGGTCATGTCGCCTTCCAACCTGTCCTCCACTTTACCTCCAGAATACTTTTTTTTTTTTTAAAGCAGACCTGATTAGGAAACTCAGAGACCCAGAGAAGCTGGGTGATTGCCCCAGCGGACTCTGTCCTCCTGTCCATAAGTTGTGGGCTGTTTCAGAGGTCAGACCAGAGACCCCAGCTTCTGCTGGGCACCCCAGCACAGCTCCAGTTACCCCTAAAGGCTAGCATCATATACTTTTAAAACACAGTGAATGAATTTTCATGAGAGTTCTTTGATCCTATTGTGTGTGGTTACTCTGTTGTTGGGCTGCCAGGGTTTGAATTCTACCTCCCTCCCTCTATAAGCAAATTACCTTTCCCTCAGTTGTTTCATCTGAAAAATGGGACCATAGTCATTCCCACCTCACAGGTTTATTGTGTGGTTTGAGACAATGTGTGCAAATTGCTTGATAATGTGAGTGTGTCCTGATGATTGGTGAGGTTTGGTCTGTGAATTGTGGTGCTCACTGTAGTGGCATGTTTATAGTTGATCTGCAGGCAAATCAAGAGATCTTTGGGACTTCATTTCAGCTCCTGCTCCGTTATCTTCTTGTAATCTTCCCTGGCACTCTTGCAGAAGTTCTTACCTTCATGGCCTTCAAAATCTCAGATCCCAGTGTTTCTAGACTCGGTTAATTCAGTAGGTGTGACGAACTGAACCGGTTAAAAAAACAAATGGAGCTGGAGGTGCCTTAGAGATTCTCTGCCCTTTAAAAAGCAGCCTCCTTTCTCCAGGTGAGAAAACCCAGGCTCAGGCTCAGGAAAATGGAGTCACTTTGCCCAGTCCTTCCATTAGCGGCTTCTGCAGGATTGGGAACCAGCATCAGAAAGCTCATGTCAGCCATTCATTCTCTTATTTATTCATTCACTGGGCAAACATGCTCAATCCGTTTTATAGGACGTCAGGAATGAGGGTCAAGCTGAGGTTCACGGCCCTTGAGTTCTGCAGACACCCCTTGTCAAGAAGAGGATGTGTTGACAACTGAAAGAAGTGTTTGTTCAGAGCCTTCTCTGTTGACAAACACCGTAGACCATTTCCACACCTGATGTGCCCTTGAGTCCTCACAATAGCTCTTCTCATTATAATGAACCTCCTAGTTTTGAGCTGAGAAATCTGACATTCAGAGTGGCTCACTGTCTGACCAGGGAGGCTCAGATGTGGCAGAGACCATCCCCAACCCTGGACCTCCAATGCCTTGCCCTCCACCAGGGTGTGGTTGGTGAGTCCTCCCATGGCGCTTAGGGACTCCAAAGCCTCCTGGGTTCCCCACTGGAAGCTCAGGGCTGCCCCCGCCCAGCCGCCCACGGGATCTGCCATCTTGTCTTTCTCCCACTTGCCATCTCTTGTTTCCCAAGTGTTGACTGCATCTCTATCTGCTCCTTCTCTGTCCTCTTTGACCCTCTGAGACTTGACCCTTTGTCATCTGTGACGTCCCCCAGAACCTCCTGTTTAGCTAGGTCCTCCAACTTGTCCTGTCCTGACCAGCCCCATCTTGAGTTCATTCAAGTTCTCCATCTGACAGCTCCAACAAGTTCCTGGCTTCAGAATGCCAACTGAAATAAAATGTACAACCTGAAAGTTGAGACTTATGTTTTATTTGGCCGACATTTCTCAGGACTTAAGACTTAAGCCCAGGATGACAGCCTCTCAGATGGCTTTGAGGGACTGTTCCGAAGAGGTAGGGGAGGAGCCAGGATATATAGGCATTTTTATAACAAAGACCAGGCAGTCAGAACATCAAAAGATTCCTGTTAACTAGACCAGACATCTCAAGTTAAATAGTTTAGCGCTTTTCTCTGTATGAGAAGGTGCAAAGTTCTGGGCTCACTGAAATCGCTCCTCTACATGCACCTAGCGGTCCAGGGCCCGTGTCCTGTTCTTCCACACCCTGCGTCCCCTCAGGGGCACCGCTGGGGGTGTCAGCAGAGGTGGGGCTGCCTGCTTGTCTGCATCCTGAGTTCCTTCTCCTCACTGCTGAGGGGGGACGGTAGCGGCTGATGACTTGATGGCTGCGGCATCTTTTGTTTACTGATACGTCTGGCAACATCTTCTGTTCACAGGAACATGAGCCCCTCCCGTGCAGTCCAGCCCACTTTCCACCTCTCTCTACCTAAAGCCCTTGCAAGACAAGCCATTTCTCGAAAGACTGTGGGTTTAACACTCCAGGCATTGGCTTCTATCAGTGTGTGTGTGTGTGTGAAGGTGTGATCCACGGCTCTACACAGAGGCACCACACTCGGGGAGAGCCGGTTTCTCTATGTTGCCTGCCCTCCCCAGGAGTCTGGGAAGGGCAGTGAGGAGATCAAGGCGACTTTGCTCACGTGGGATGTGAAGAGCAGGTGCCCTGGGGCTCTCAGCCTTCGGGGCAGCAGGGTGGAGCCTGAGAGGTCTCACTTGCCGCCTGTTACACAGCAAGCATGGGCCATGCACTGTGCCTGTTGAGGCGGGAGCACGGGTTGCGGGAATGGACCGCCGTCGCCTTGTTCCGAGACGTTCCTGAACTCCAACTTTCAGGCAGGAAGTTTAGAAAGAGTGAAATAAAGTGAAAGAGATCGGACAGCGTGCTGGATATGGACGTCCTTCTCAGAAACCAGGCCGTGCTCACGCTGCTGTTGGGAGTGGGCTG